AGTCAGTCAGTCAGTCAGTCAGTCAGTCAGTCAGTAAGTAAGTAAATATTTTTTTCACTGTAAAAGGAGAAAACATAAAAGTGGTTTTGATGCCTGTTTTTATATTTTTCTCTTTAGTCAGTAGTAAATATTAAACATCATAGCATACATCAAGTTTGATGAGACAAAACCCATAAAGCAAATATTACAATGGTTAAAAAAAATACAACTTCTGTGTCTTCTGAATTTTTTTTTGTCAGTTTTTACTTAAAACTGAGTCCAAGTCATGTAAAATCTCTCTGTGGATAAATTTACAATGTGTTTTTAAAAAGCCCTCAGTGTTATGACAGACAGACAGAGCTGCCACAGCTGAAATGTAAGGAAACCTTTTCTCTGTGAAAGTTTGYTTGAAATTAGTTTATTTGTATCCAGATTAAGTAATGAAAGCCTCKCTCTGTTTCAGTCCAGCTCCACTATGATTTTCTGGCTCTTTTTTTTCTCTGAAACGTTTTAATAATTTGTGGAGAGACTGCTAAGTACTGTAACCAAATTTCCCTCTGGGATCAATAAAGTATTTTTGAATTTGAATTGAATTGAATTAAAATGTCTCACCTCCCAGGATCCAAACTGTGTTTCTCTTTTTCTCCAAATGATCTCCCTCACCCCACACACACCCCAGTTTTTTTTTTTTTTTTAGTTTCGAACAGCTGTGGATCCCCGAGTCAGGTGGAGTTCTGGATGAGCCGTATTTGGATCCAGAATTAAAGGAGAGATCACCACCTCCTTCATCTTGCTCCAGATGTTGAAGCTCAAGTTGCCCAGATGTTTGGACACTTCTATCAGAGTCTCTGAAAACAGCCGTGGGTAAAGATTTGTAGTTTGTTGAAGATAAAACATCTGCAGTTTTCAGTCTTTCTTCTGTTTGTTTGATTGTCTCAGTGGTGATTGTTATTTGTCCACTCAAAACCTCAGTCTTCTCTTTTATTGTCTGACTTTTCAGCTCCTCTTCCTCTTGTAGACAGTGGTGAAACTTTTTAAATTCCTCTTTTATGTTTCTTTGTTTTCTGGGCCTGGATATTAATGTGTCATCAAAAAGGATCTTCTCATTTAAACAGATTTATCTTCCCTTGTAGTGGTTCTGTAGACTTCTGGGCCCCGTTTCAGGATAAGTGGAAATCCTGAGTAAGTTCTGGGGTAACTTACTCAAAGCAAGCAGCATGGAGCTGGACTTCAATTCAATTCAATTCTTAATCAAAAAACAAACAAAACATTTCACACAACAAAATAATACAAATAAAATAAATGAAATGAAATGAAATTAAATGAAAGGCAGCAGCAGAAGAAAAAAATAACTTAGGGGGCCGTTGCCCAAAATATGGTAGGTGAAACACTGCATAATGTAAAAGAAAAGGTGTTATTCTGGTGTWTTGAATCATAAACTCAAAATTTACAATAGATTTAAAATCTATTTTTGTATTCAGTGATTGGGCTCATTTTTAGGCAGGACAGAAGTTGCCCGCAGGCCACCAGTTGAACAGCCCTGTTTCAGCTGCATGTATCTCTGTCAGGATCATCTTCTTCCATTATGTATTTATACAGGATACATCTACGTACATCTGTTATCTCCTGCTGGAGGGTGATTTGTGTCAGGTGGAAGTGTGAAGAACTGTGCAAACTAACAGGGTGCCAGAATAGCACATTTATACTTCTCATCCATCCACTTTATTCAGAAGGCAGCATATATCTGGATGCTTCTTTTTATTGTTTTGAAACTGAAATGAAATAAAATGAAAATGTTGCCTGAAAAGTAATTACTCCAGTAAAGTATTAACTAAATGTCTGCTTAAGTAAAGTAACAACGTTTTTGTACCGTGTTCCTCTACAGCAGTGTGAAACAGCAGCAGCAGCAGCAGTTTTTTTCTATTCCCAGCCCCTCTGACGGAGGAATGATGAGACCCTCYGACTGAACCACTTCACTCCGCCGGGCTCGGTCCAGCCTCCGTTTCCTGCCTGACAAACACCAGCTGTTTATAGCTGCTTGTCTTCTTTCCAAACYCTGAGAGGACTTTTGTTTGAGCTGTGGACTGGCCTTTTATCAGGTAAGATAACAACAAATTCATTCTGAAAGACAGTACTTTACAGAGCAGTTTGAGTTGTGTATGGAGTGAAATAAGTTGTATTTTTAGGTTCTTGTTGCCTTGAAGAGGGGAGAAGGAACAAAGTTAACTAACTTCAACTTTTACCCTAATGGCTCTGACTTTAAAAATCATGAATGTAATGAAATTTAWTGCTGTCTTCACTAAATGGACTGACTTTGAAAGTAATTGCTCAAACTTTTCACTGACTGTTTAGTAATGATTCTCATCATAAGCAGGATTATTTTAGCCTACATACTCACATCAATTTATTACCTTTTATTTATTAAGTAAAACCTTAATATCTGAGAGCTAAACTTAACTTGTATCATTTCTATCAACTCACAAGAACTGAGAATATAAAATACTTTGGATTAAATATAAATAAAAATCTATATACTGTAGCTATATAGAAGAGATTTTTTTATTATGTATGTAAGCCCACGTTCCCAAACCATTACTCAAAAACAAGCTTCTTAGATTTTAAATATTCCACAGTATTTAAAAATGGGTTAAAATGGCAACAGGATTTGTCATTTTTAGTAAACTTAAAGCTGTCATGTAAATAAAAGCTCCAGAAAACAACCTTAATGTTTTTGAGACTTATCAGAAGCTAATGTGTAGTTGGTGAAGCTGTGAGGCTTTTATTGTGAAGTGCATCTAGTTTTTTGTGATATTTAGCAGTTTCTAAACTCTGATGGGCAYCTTTGATTTGAGTTTCTCTCAGACTTTGTGATGCTGTGATGAAACACCTGGTTTAAAACAAGGTCCTGACTTAGTTTGAGCGTCTAAGTCTTCATGTGGACAACAGCACCAGTTTGTGCAAACTCAAGTAGAGTCTGGTTGCGGCTCGGCCTGCGTCGGAGGCTATTCACGTTGACATTCCATTCACTCCGCTAAAAATAAACGCACGCTTTCACCAGTGCTCAGAAAATGCCATTGCTCACAACCTGCTGCTGCAGCTGAACAGGAAAAAAAGGGCTGGTTGACTCTTGTTTAGAGTCACAATTAAAGACCCCTCAGCTTTAATTTAAACAAATGCCTTTTTTGTGCCTTAGCGTTGTCCTCGGGTGCTGCTGTCACCTCGGCTCATCTTCAGCTGCACTCCAACTCTCCAGGCTCCTTCCTGTAAACATGTCGTCATCTTATGCAGCAGCTATATCAGCTCTTCTTACATCCAGTACTCTTAATCAACCCATCAAATACAGCCCAGTCCGTTCCACAAAACCAGCATGCAGTCCCAAATCCAACAAGCACCTCCACCATCTCCCAGCTTCAAAGAACCATCCTCCTTCACCTGAGCTACTGAGGTCTTTTGATGAACAGGAGAACCCTGACGACTATGACGTAGGTAGGTGAGACCCCCCAGCAGTGGAACTCCACATGCTGCTCGAGATCTTCACGCTTTCCTCTCCTCTGCAGGTGGTTACTATCCTGTGGAGAAGGGAGAAATCTTTGTTGATCGTTACCAGGTAGTTAAAAAGTTGGGATGGGGTCACTTCTCCACCGTCTGGCTCTGCTGGGACATGCTGTAAGTAAAACGTTGCACTTCTGACCAGGGCCGGTCCTAGCCAATTCAAAGTCCTACGCAAGATTTCAGGGGGGCACCCATTGTGCAGGTTTCAAAATCTCATTTCCAATTTACATAGAGTACATTCATATAGATTTTATTTTTTATCTTTAGAAAACAGGTTGTCCAATTAAAATAATAACAAATTTTATTTGAAGCAGAATAACAGAGGTCGACCTCATACCTTCCAACATCTGCTGACAGCAAGAAGGAACACCTGTTCATGTTAACCAGCAGCTGTGGACTGAAGCAGTTCTGTTGGGGGGGTCCAGGGGGTTCTACTCAAACTTAGGCATTTTCCTGCCGATTGAAAAGCCTTTTACTAAATTCTTGAAATTAATAAAACAACATAAAACTAGTATTTTATGAAAGTAGAACAGTGAAAACCAGACGTTAACCCGAATTTTATCATCACAACTGAAACTTTCATATATTTTTGTTTTCTATTTACACACTGAGCATCATGCAGGCCTTTAGGTAGGATTTTAGGGGAGGACATAGACACTTTATATAGGACGGTATGAGGGTCAAAATTAAGACTATTATGCAGCCAGTGGTCGCTACATCGTTGTAGCAGGAGGCTATATATTCCTGACAGCTGTTGATCTGATTAATGATAGGCCGACACCGGTAACTGAGCAGCTGCGTTAGCCTCTGAGAGGTTAACAACTAGCATGCCCAGGCTGTTCACCTTTATTAGACACAAACGTTCTTAAATAAAGGAAACTTTCTCTACAAACTAAACTTTCTAAAAAGCCCCAACTTGATAGTTCTGGCATTTCTAATAAATTGGCAAAAGTGAACAAACAAACAAAAAAACAAACAAAAAACAAACAAAAAACAAACAAACAAACAAACAAACAAACAAACAAACAGAAAACAATTTGCCAGCGCCGGCCTCTCATTTACCTGGACCAGCTGCTCAGTTACTGGTGTTGGCCTATCATTGATCAGATCAATAGCTGGTTTAGAGATAGATATAGCCTCCTGCTACAAGGATGTAGCTACCGCTGGCTGCACGATAGTCTTAATTTTGGCCCTCATACTCCACCATAACGTTAAGTCAAGCCACCCCACAACCCTGGACTGCAATCTTAAGAAATTTATATTGGTGAAAGAAGTTACAACCAGATTGGAGACTGAGAAAACAACAGCTACTAAAGCTGTGACATCGTTACCCACCTGTATCCAGGTCAGATCAATTTATTTATTCTTTGTCTTCCTCTGGCTTCACATAATATTTTCAGTCACCCTCTCCACCACTTACGGAGTTTATGTAAATTTCTGAAATTTACATAGAGAAAAAAAAATACTTGGTGGATCGAAGATTGACTGGGCATCCTGAGGCGTCACCAGCAGACAGAGGGTGTCATACAAAATAAACACCTCTCTAGCTAAATGCCTGCTGAGCACCAGTAGTTAGTTTTGACTGCATCATATCATAGTTATTTCTACATATTTTATCCCCCATTCATGACTTCCGCCTAGATGGATGGCGCACTTAGCTTTTTCCTGTACTGCCTATGCCACAGGCCGGCCTTGTTTATGATCTTGTGTTTAGCAAATTGAGCCTTAAACATAATAACTGTGCTGTAACTGTCTGCTCACAGGACGAGTCATTTTGTGGCTCTGAAGGTGGTGAAGAGTGCTCAAACGTTCACCGAGACGGCGCTGGATGAGATCAAACTCCTTAAATGTGTCAGTGTAACCACTTCCTATTTCTGTTTAGTCTGAACATTTAAATAAATTCTCATCACACCACATTTTTATTTCTATATGTATTCTGTCTGATATATGACCCTCAGGTGAGGGAGAGTGACCCCAAAGATCCTAAACGTGAACGGATCGTGCAGCTCATCGATGACTTCAAGATCTCTGGAGTCACCGGAGAGCGTATCCTTTACTGAGAGCCATGAAGCTGTGTGCCAACACACACAGCTGAACAATAAGGACAAAGTGTTGCTCTGTTTGTTTTTAACATTTTGTGGGGATTTAAAGTCTGGGATATTTTGGCCACTGTAAAGAGGAGGTTTTAATACTTGTTTGTACCAAATCTGGACTTTAAAAAAAAGTCTATGAAAAGTATACTTTAAGTATACTGTTATGRCTTTTTAAGTTTACAAACTTACCAAAACTTCAAGTACATGTCATTAAGTATACTAAAGTGTATAAAAGTGTACTTTTTTTTAACCATGCACACTGATATTAGTATACTAGCAGTTTACTAACAAGTATACTTCTAAATTGGCCCACAGCAAGTTTATGAAAGTATACTCAGAAGTATACTGAAAGTAATATTCTAAGTATACTTTTATTTTAATCTTGAAATATACTACAAATAAACCAGTCTGTGTGAAAAGTATACTACCAAAGTTTATCTTGGCCAAAAGTTTAAACATTAGTATATTTTTAGTACAAGTCAATTGAAGTTTAAGATAAACTTGGTTAAGTATATCTCAGATAAGTACATAAAAATAAACTGGAAGTATACTCTTAGTTTAAATTAGTATACTAAAAGGGTACTTGCATATACTAGTTTTTGCTAAGGGTATGTTAATGGCTAGTTTAAATAAACTATAACAGTTTATGTAAACACCGTAGCAAACCTTTACAAAGCTTTATAAAACAGCYTCTGTATGAACTGATWTTTATTTTACTTTKATTAGYTTGGAGCCGTTTTAAGCTGGCAGTGATGGTCTTTGCCATGTTTAGGTGTTAGCTTTTTTGTCTCATCGGAATTCAACTGTCTCTTCAAACTGAGTTTGTTCAAAAAGCTATCTACAAGAGGTAAGATATTAATTATCTTTCCGTCCATCCGTCTGTTTTCTTCCACTTATCCGGGGTCGGGTCGCGGGGGCAGCAGCCTAAGCAGAGAGACCCAGACTTCCCTCTCCCGAGCCACTTGGGTCAGCTCATCCAGGGGAATCCCAAAATGTTCCCAGGCCAGCTGAGAAACATAGTTTTAGTTTCAGCATTTTAATTATCTTTCCATCTACATCAAAAGGTCCAAAATATCTTTTTAATCTTTACATAGTTTTGGCTGCTGATGGTCTTTACCAAGTCTTTGTGGACCTGCAAACACTCTGAGGTGTGAACGAAGTTCCTTAGCTGCTCAGATGTGTGCATGGTTCTGGAGGTCCTTGGTCATCAGCTGTTGAGGTGGATCATTAAATCCAACTACACCGGCCTCCCCCTGCCATGTGTGAAGAGCATCCTCAGACAGGTTCATCAWAACCTCATAAACCATAAACAAGTCATTTCTCCCATCTTTAACCATCGTCTGAGTGGATTAATTTCCCCTTTTTGTTCCTTCCCGCAGGTTCTGCAGGGTTTGGATTACTTGCACACTAAATGCAGGATTATTCACACAGACATCAAACCAGAAAACATCCTCCTGAGAGTCGATGATGTTTARATTAAAAAGCTTGCAGCTGACACCAAACTGTGGCAGCTTCCTGTGAATCCTCCTCTCAGCAGATCAGGTTAGTGAAATTATCCAACGTCRGTTTGACTCGTGTTGATTTAAAGGAATCAGTGAGTGTTTTTGTTGAAACATGCTGTCTTTCTCATTTAGGCTTTATAATCTGAAATGTTTGTTTCTCTTTTTGCCAGTAAAAACTGACTCCAGAGAAAAACAGGTGTGTAAAATAACTTTATTCTTCTGTTATTCTTAAAACTGTATTTTTCATTTGTGTTTTTCTCAAACTGCACTTTAACAATTTGCTRCCCTGTGATTTTTTTTAAAGAGTTTGCACAACCTGTTTGGGAAGCTGACAGGGGTTTTACAGGAATGGGTAAGCTGGATGTTGTGTTTTATGTTTTCACTGACACTATTCAGGTATATTTTGATCAGAAGTGTGTAATAACCTAAGTACATTTACTTTGTTACAGTACTTAAATCATTTTCTTGAGGATTTGCAATTTTACCTAGTWTGTTTTTAATCATAACCTTTACATTTACATTCAAAACCTTAGAGTGATGCTTTCACTTCTTTACTTTAAAATTTAACAAAGTGTTGTAAATCACCTGATTTATCATGATACGATAATATATCGATTTGTTTGGATTTCTTCATATCACAAAGTCTGTCATGATACGATTTCGATTCAGTTCACAAGTCTGCGATTGATATGGTGCAAAGTCTTAAGCCCATCTAATGTAAATGARTGTTAGATGGGCATAAGATGATGAAATATGGATAATTTTTTCATTTTGTCCCGATGTGACTGGATGGAAATTTAAAAATTTAACGTTGAATTTGTGAGGTTGTGCAGCAGAAGACCCAGGGCGCAGGCAAAAATTCAGAGTACAAAAAATACTTTTGTTAAAGCAAAAGGCTGGCTAAAGCAGCTCAAAAATACTCAGGAGAATAAGGACACAAGGAACATGAGAGGACACCKCACTGGCTGGGGTTGACAGCACAAGGATGCGATGACAAGACACAGAATATAAAGATGAGCAAACGAGGGACTGATCGGAAACACCTGGGGAGGAACGTTWRAAATTTAAATATGACCSAACTCATKATGATWAGCATTGTTTATGCACTCTAAAAATTGAAGTGTTGAATTTACTTAATCAAACTGGTTCCACTAAGCTGAGTTGAARAAATTAATCAATTTACAAATATTATTGAACAGGTTTGGTTAASTAAATTCAACACTTGATTTTTTTAGAGTGCAGAAACAGCTCTTATCATGATGCGTTGGGTCATATTTAAATTTATAACGTGTTACAAGTAGGGCTCTAACAATACATCGATCCACGTCGWAATATCGATTAGATGATTAATGATTCAGTTACATCGGGGCAAAAATGAAAAGCAATATCCATATTTCATCATCTTATGCCCAAACAATCATTTACTTTAGATGAGTATAAGATATTGCATCATATCGATCGCTGACTTGTGAAGTGAATCAAAATCGAGTGTGCATTTCCTGATTAGTGTTAGCAGTATTATGAATTTTACTTAAGTACTTTTTTTTATCAGTGAAATTTATTTTTACCACAGCCATTTTTAAAGGTATAATTACTTTAAATTAGTAAAAGTAAAACTTTATAGGCCTCTGATTTTATTAAATCTGTGTTGACTGGAATGCAGCAGGCTAATAAACACTTCATATTACACTGCTTAATGTTAAATCTTGTTCTTACTTTATATTAGTACAAACAGCTGCAGATTCTTGTACTTTATAAAGGAGTCTGATGCATGTGGCTGATGTTACTTTCTGCCTGAAGAGAGAAGCAAATCCTAATCTAATCCTATTTCCTAATCTATGTCATGTTCATTAGCTGTATGCGATGTTACATTACAATAAATGTATGACAATTTATCCCTTAAGTTTTAAATATGAACTCTGCAAATACATTCTCAGCCTATTTAGATGAAGTAAATCCAAATGTTTTCATGTTCCATTTATGATTGTGATGTGTGGGATTGTGTTGTTTATTAGACATATATACCTTCAATCACAGGGAAGCAAATGGTTAAAATGCAATGTGAGAAAAACACAAATGAAACTTTAAGAATAGACAAATAAAGGCTGAGTATTCTTCGAAAGAATTCAAATCACCCGCCTCCCTTAGAGTTAGATCATTGAGAAATGACAGAGTTGTAACCAAACCAGTCAAACCTTGAAAATAACTTTATTGACAATCCAATGCAAACATTTCAGGCTCAGAGTTTAACTCACAGTAATGTTTAGCTCTAGATCTGTAAAACTGACTCAATTATAGCCATCTTTGTGTTTACTAAGATCAACTGGCTGAGGCAGCTAACTTGAGTTGTACAATTTTTCTTGTGGTTCATGAGATATTTTGCTAACAGACAAAAGAAAAACAAACTCAAATGCTGGGCAAATATACTATTGTTCACCTTTCTTCTTTTGGTGGCAATCAATAAATATATTATACTGTATATTTTATTTGTTGCACTCCCTACCAAGTTTATTGAGTATATTTTATTAAATGGCCAAGAAGTTGCAAAAATACACACTGAAAATGTAGATTTTTACAGCATGGATTTATTTGAATTTACTGACCTTTCTGAGCCTGTTTCTGTGGAACAGGTTACGGAGCATTTAAAGCAGACCTCTGGTGTGTGTCACAGGAGACAACTGCAGCTTTTGATGTTCCTCCAACAGTTGCTGTTGTGGTTTTATTTAAACTTGTTGTTAGCAACCCAACCTAAAACAGAATACAAACCAATGTCAAGGCTTAAAGCTTCCAAATAACAAATATAWACTGAGACACAAGTTATTTGAACATGCCAATTTTCCAAAACAGGCCTGAGAGTTTCTGATTCTGTCATGATCTGTGTGTCTTTGCTTTAGTTTTCTAGTGTTTCAGTGTTCCCCTGTGTATCTCTGCCCTGCTCCAGCTCCACCCATGCTCACCTGTTTCCTCTTGTCTCCTCCAGGTGTTTCTTGTTGTCCTTAATTTGTTTGCCTTTTGTATTCTGTGCCCTGTGTTCAGTCTGTGTCGGATCATTGTATTGTGCTGTCATCAGCCAGCGTGGTGTGCTCTGTGTTTCCCCTGATAGGATTCTGCAGGTTTTGAGCTGCTTTGTCAGCCTTTTTGTTTAACATTAAAGCTATTTGTTACCTTTTTGAATCTGCCTGCGCCCTGGGTCATTCTGCCTGCACACAACCTCACAGATTCACTGAATTCCTTTGAGAGTTGTTATTTTCAGACACTGTCCTCCTTTTCCCACAATCAGTCCAGCAAGGTCTCCAGGAGTTCAAACAAGCGTGTGGCGGGGAAGGAGAGAAGCCGTCGAGGACAGAAGAATCCACCTGACTCCAAACCAGACAGGTCTCGTGTGTCTTTCTGCGATGCTGCTGCCTCCAGCGCACACGGCTCCACTGTGAACACGAAGCTCACAGGTCCGAACCTCAGGATACGGAGGCAGACGCTGCTGTTTGAAGACGAGCCGGACTGGGCTTCACACAGCCACTCAGTCTGCTCACAGCCGAGTCGCAGCGTGGATGCACCTGCTTCTGCTTCCAGACCTGCAGACACAGAGCGTCCTCCACCGTCATCATCCTCACCCTCAGCTCAAGGTCTGCCCCGTCAGCAAGGATGTAATGTTTTTGATGAAAACAAATCTGTAAGAAGAGTGGAACAAGAAAGTTTAGTTTAGTTTAGTTTTTTTATGTTTCTGTGTGTTTTTAGAAAGGAGTGATCCTGTAGACCTTCTGAAACCTCAAAGTGCTGACAAGATCCTCATCAAAATTGCTGATCTGGGCAATGCCTGCTGGGTGGTGAGCGATTAATCAGATTAATGTGTGAAGACACTGAAAGGAGATTATAATCAAATGTTTCAACTGGAGCTCATCCCAGAGTGTACATCTGCTATGGTTTAAAAATCCTACTGTGTTTATTTCACAATTTATTACAATTTCACGTCAGTGAAACATAWTAGAACTAGAAAAGTTTAGTTTTCTCTGCTGAGTGCAGAAGTTCTGTCTGAAACTGAATTGTTCAGTAAACTGTTAAAAGTTAAAATAAGCAGGACAGTAGTTAAAATGAGCAAAACAGTGGACAAAAGCTATGATAACAAACGGTAGAGCAAAATGTAGCAAAACTGTAGCTAAATGCAACAAAACAGTAGTTTTGAACTGTAATTAGCAAAGCTAGCTAAAAGCTAAAATTAGCAAACTGCAGCTAAAAGGTAAATGTGGTGTGTTTGAGATTTTGAATCAATAATTGCAATGAAATGATCAAATTATTTATGATCATATGWTGCTGCAACATGGTAAAATATAAAGTACACCAAAAATGTGCATTTTATTCATTTCTTTAAAAAATTACAAATTTTATTACATTTTACAACATAATGTTTTTTATAAAATCATATAAATGTAAGTGTTAGAGGCACAAAGGAACAGATTTAGTACAYTGTTTTGTTGTTTGCCTCAGACTGAAGGCTACTGCTTTTATAAATGAAACAAGATAGAACTTGATGCTAAACGTCGCTGATGTCCCCTGTCGCCATTCAGTAAAACTGTTAGTTTTGTTGGAATCATCACAGGCCTTCATTATTTAAATAAGTGAATAGATGGATGGATGGGGGACTAAGATGATCTTGTCAAACTACCACACAGGTGTGTTTAGCAGGTGATGATGCACACTAAATTTGGTGCAGATTGGATCGTATATGTGTGATTTAGAGCTAACCGCGTGCAAACAGCGAGGCATCAGCATCCTCCACTGTGCCACARKCACACCATCCTGCRACCAGTCAGTGTTGAGAGAAGCATGCAGCATGAGAAGTCTGCATGGTCAAAGCTGTAGYYGGAGTTAGCTCAGAAACATGTGCAAGAAAAGAGACAAACTGGCAGCTTTGACCCAAAATAACCGACTAACCAAGTAAGATGAAGTTCTTATCTGTGTTCTGACACAATGTGTTGCTGATTAGGTTAAGACGGTCAGACATGGAGCTGTCCAAGCAAAACAAAATTAAAAAAAAATAAAAAAAAGACTGATAGATGGATGGTCAGGCCTGGAACATGGATGACTCGTACCAAGATATATTTGGTGTATTTGAGCCTTTCTTTGTGAAAGTTGCAGCTTTCTGAAARCGTAGAGGACGAACAGACAGACGGACGGAGATCATTTGTAGGAGACAAACATTGGCTGAGGTTTKTTTTATAACGAGTCCTTTAAATGTATTTTGATCATCACCTCAGTTTGGATCATTCCTACTGGAAAACCAAAATCATATATTTTATTTGTYCAATTTTATTTATTAGTTTGGAGTGCTGTGGATGCTATGTCTCCATGGCAGCCTTGAATCTTGAAATATTTTTCTGTCCTCATCCTCASGTGGTCTCAGATTTTGCCTCTTAGTTCTTACCAAATCTTTAATTTTGCACATGGATTTAGTGTTTAGTTAAACATTAAGAATCACATTTTGTTTGTTGTCAGCACAAACACTTCACTGAAGACATTCAGACCTGTCAGTACCGCTCAATTGAGGTCCTGATTGGTGCTGAATACGACACACCAGCCGACATCTGGAGCACTGCCTGCATGGTGAGCTGAGATGATGCTTTTTATTTTTAATAAAACCTCCAGATTGTCCCCTTTTTCAGRGTTTCATTTCATCATTTCCAACATTTATACTGTTGTTGCCTTGTTTTGTGAAGGCCTTTGAATTGGCCACAGGAGATTATTTGTTCGACCCTCAGTCTGGAGCCACGTTCTCCCGCGAAGAAGGTGTGTGTTGTCCACAATGGGTTTTTGTTTTTTCGGTGAAATAAATATGATACGTCAATTTTTTAATGTTTTTTTCAGATCACATCGCTCACATTATTGAACTACTGGGACCCCTTCCATCTCAGTTTGTCCTTTCTGGGAAGGATGCCAAATGCTACTTCAACCGAAAAGGTAAAAACTGTTTGTTATAATGTTAAAAACCCATGTATTCCTCTGTAATGCTTCTTTTTATCGTTTGTCACTGAAATAATGTCTGAAATAATGAAATAATGAATAATGTCTTTGTCAGTGTGTTTATTCATCTACTATTTACCAAAATACTTCATGAGCAGTTATACTCAGAAAGTAACCATTGAAAGAACATCTACAGATGATTACATTTTGGAGCTAATCAGATTTCAGATGGTTGCCACAGCTGGTTGACCTTGGCAAACACAAATGACCACAACTCAGGCAGTTTAACTGATATGGCCTTAACTTCTGATGAGCTYGAAGGAGGYCCGGCCCRAGCCAATTTGGCGCCCAAGGCAAAATATCAATCAGGTGGTGCCCCTTGTGCAATTCTCTAAATCTCACTGCCAGTTTACATACGTTCACACACCAGATTTAATAGTTTTGTCTTTGATGTTATTTTTTATTGTCTTTAGAAACCAGGTCCWGTTAAAATAGTTAACATTATGATACATCCTGATGCATCTCAATGATCCAGATAGAAAAACAAGTTCCTTGTTGAAAACATGGTGGACATGATGGACAAACAAGTTAACATTGGCAAACAAATCTGTTGAAGACCATTATGGGAGAAGAGAGAAAACATTTTGTTCAACAAAGAACTTGTCCAGAGGACCTGCTCAACTTTTTTTTAAACATTATAATAAATTTGAAACAGGACACCAGAAGTCTACCTGATACCTGCCAACATCTGCTGACAGCAACGAGGAACACCTGTTCATGTTAACCAGCAGCTGTGGACTGAAGCAGCTCTAGGGAGGTGCAGGGGTAGACTCCCCCGTAAAAATATTGTAAAATATCTACTCAAAACTATACATTTTCCACCCATTTGAAAAGCATTTTACTAAATTCTTGGGATTAATAAAACAACATAAATCAGTATTTTCTGAAGGTAAAACACTGAAAACCAGACTTTAACCTGAACTTTATCTGAGATCAGAACTGAAACTTTCATTATCCTTTTTTATTTTCCTATTAACTCACAGAGCAGTAGTTAGTCTTGACTGCATCATATGATACTTTTGTCATGAAATACCCTCTGCACCATATGACCTCATATCGTAGCAAAGCAGCTGAGAAACCCACAGAACAAGTTACCTTCATAAACCCGAGGAACAAGTGATTATTCTACAAACTAAATTATCTAATATATATACTCTAATAAAAAGTTTGTCAACTTTTGGTACCTCATTTGTGGCACCCCCTAGGTGGCACCCCCTAGGTGGACGGTGCCCTTAGCATTTGCCTACACTGCCTGTGGCCCTGGCTGGAAGTCATCCTCAACACATACTCTGAGTCYTTGCTGGATTGATTTTGAATCAAAGTTCTGCCAAGACCTAGCCTGGTTAAAACCAGACCCTGTCCTTCACTTCGCTTCGTACAAGGYTCTGGACTTGRTGCACAGAGAAMCGWTTCTTSCAGGAGGRGTGGCCMCTGCTGAAYCATGTGRGTGTTGTCGGTGTGAAGGAGGCTAAGCTAAGAAGCTAACRGGAAATCGCGAGCGCTGTAAACAACCRTACTGAGAGYAGAAAAGTATCGAGCCAAACYAGACGACTGTAAATGAGAGCTGCTGCTTTGTCAGATAAATTTAATTTAATTTGAAGCCTTATCAACACAGACTGGCTTCATTCACTTCCTCCACTGCTGTATGCTAAAATAA